TTTGTAATTTATTTGGTCGTGTCTTTGGAACTAAAATTATTTTTACATCGTTGATCCTTAATAGTTTATTTGATTTATTTGTACGACGATTGTTTTATATACTTTACATCCCAATTAATTTGTTCAAAATAGTATATAAAGTGATGCATTTCGAACAGCTGACCTGAATTTAAAATAATGTTTTAAGAGAATAGAATGTAATATGGGTACATTATAATATAAAATGTACCGCATATACACATATTACTTATATTATTATAATAACATATTTTTAAAGACTCCAGTAGACTAAGAAATATAGAATAGTATATCGTTATTTTTTCGGTAATCAACCCAGTATAAGGTTGGTATTGCAGTTTCCCAACATGTCACATTATAATAAATATAATATGCATATATTATAGACACAACGCATTGTGGTATGAAAAAACGATGTTTGACAAGTTATATTATCTGCAGCGTATCTGATAAAAGTATGAAATGCATTCCAGTTGGGATTCGGGGCGTGACGTGATAGCTGTCAAATATTGTGCATTATCGGTTTGCCAACATAATATCCTGATACTTTAAAAGCATCATGTAAATAGCAATTTTATAAATAATAGTTTCAAAACTCAATACGCAATCAATGCGAAAAACAATTATAAATGCCTATAATATAATACTTTTTTTTCTGTAACAAAATTAGGGGAATTCGGTTCTCGAGAAATATTAATCAACCCCCTCGTATGTGCCGAAATATTATCACTGCTTGCAGGCTGCAGCAGTAAAACTTGGTCCGCGTAATGACTGCAATGGCGATGATCACATTATTATATATTATCGTTAAAAATCAATCGGCAAAACGAGGTTAGATATATTAAATATTGAATATAATTCGGGGGATCGTATAGGTAGCAATATAAGCTATAATATAATATATGAGTAGGTTTATTGGAATGTACCTATATATAATATATATTACGACGGTGCAAAACGATGAGACGATCCACGCATTATCCCTTTTGCACGCAATATTGAAATTTACCAGTATCGTGTTACGCTTATATCGTATCAGTAGCACATATATTTGTTTCTGTGCACTCTGGGTTATTGTAGGTGCATTATATACTGCACCTGTGTGTATAGAAATGTAGGTATATATTATATAATATTAAACACTTCTCAGACACTTCTATATTACATATAAAACACTCTTGGGGGTCTTAAACAATATGTAGTACAATATATAAGAATTAAATTTCTTCGACATAACAATAAACGTTAATAAAAATCACGATATAATAAATGCGTCTGTAGAGATGACGAGATTCGAATGCGTCGGTGTATAAAATATTATATTATGTGCGTAACTACATTATTTTTGATTTATAGTGCATATTATATCGTTTTAAGATTGTTTTTTTTTTTATTCTTACAAGTTCAACTAATATCTATAATGTAAAGTAATCTCGTCGCAAATGTTTAATATTGTACCTACATAATATATACCTAATACCTATATAGTTATAGTATATTAGTATATAATATTATAATATACTCGTTATATGTGCTTATTATGTTTTACTGTTACATCAATACAGGTTAATTATTAGATTTTCAGTGGCACAATAATATAAATTTCAGTTATTTAGTTATTTTATTTGTTTAAATAATAAACATGGAAAACCGTTTATAAGACGTATTTTATGATTAGACTATAGAAGAACTACTGATTTAATTTATTTGTTACGTTTAAACGTTAAAGTATTTATTTCATATGGACTGTATATATCTTTTGTTATTTCGAATGTAATTTTACCCAACCATATATAGTCGAATTAGCAGTAACAATGTTAGTAATAGCTGGTGACTAATACTATAGACCAGGGGTCGGCAAGTAATTTCTATTGGAGTCCTAAAGATTAAAATAATAAATCAATGAGGTCCAGTGAAAAAAATATTTTTTAAATCTTTATATTTTAAAAATAGCAGTTTAAAAATAAAAATAATTATTCAGTTATTACAATTAATTTATATTAAAAATTCCAAAGGTTAGGTTAGGTTAGGTTAGGTTAGGTTAAAATAAAAGTATGAAAAAAAATATATTTATTACAGTAAATTATTTAATGCGAAAAATTGCATTTTTTTTCCTTAGCCAGCTTACCCTAGCTTTTTGAAATCGGGAACTCGTGGAGAACAACCTAACCGATTATTACCTGTCCGATAAAATATTTTTCAATGAATTATGATATAACTATAATCTGAGTTTGATAAATTAAATTAAATAAATGTCTGTATTAATAATAATACTATTATAGAAAATAACATAATGAAGTACAATGTGTAGTATAGACAATTATAAATTATAGACGTCACAATATACTATGCACATGGTCATATGCTTAGCTCCCCTCCCCCTTCACCACATTTTTTACAGTTTAAAAGCTTGCTGGGAATTTTTTTTTACACAGTTATTTATCATAATACATTGCTTGCATGAATTTTATGTCAAGACCGTATACCACTACCTCTGCAGACTTTGATGCCAATATTATGATGTTTCTGGGTCACAAACTAACAACAATATATATATACGTCCAAATCAAGATGTTTATTAATATATATTCAAATATGTACGTGGGCGGGTTTGAGGTAACCATGCTATAGGTAGATATAGGTACAACCATGGTGCAGGATGAGCATCTCACGATTCGACGAGAATATAACTGCTGCAGTGTGGCATTTACTAGTAAGTCAAAAACCTCGTCTAGGTGCACCTCATTCGCTGCCGACTCGCATTCAAATAATAATATATAGCTAGGTACGTGCGCGTATACACGATATTATAATATATTATTATTATATTTAACAGCTCTGCAGCGATGTACCGTACACGTGGCGTATTAAATATCGATAATAAAAATGATGGGAGAAATGGCCGCCAATGTAAGTATACCATCTCATAATATACATATATATCTGTTATAGGTACCTCTATATAGCTGTAATATATTGCTGCAGCACCACAGCCGTGCAGAGCCGCCTTCGCTATATCGTCAACACGGCGTGGCGTACACACACACAATTTATATACATTATACACAGATATATATATATATGTATTAGCTGGACATAATATGTTATTATATTTTGTAAGCTCGCTTATACGTGCGTTTATGTTCATACTATATTGAGTATACGGCGATTGGCCAATTAATTCGGATCACGACCATTGGATCACGACCTCTGGTTCTCATTACTAGCGGACACGACGTCCCGACAGATATATTAGGTATATCATATTATGTACCTACCTCAGATATACCTACCTACCTACGTACGTACGTGTCGAACTTAGTTATGATACTATGTATAATGTATATATATGCGTATACTAACGCGTGAGTCTGATGTAGAGGCGGCGAAAACTACCATTCGCTATATCATATAGCCTCATTACATATATACCTACCTATATTTATATGCATTTAAATATTATACTACTATTATTACTGTTTTATATATAATATATAGGTAGGTACCTATGCCAGCCGTGTAGCATACAAAACTATCTAATATGTCCGGAATAAACATAATATATATTAGTGATGGTAGGGGGAGTGGAGAGAGAAGGAGGAGACGTGAGCACATTTATTTATGGCGTACCTATTGGTTATAAGTGGATATTATAGATACCTACGCATACAAATGTATAGCTTACCTATACATAATATACAATGTAATAACGGATAGATAACGCAGAATAGTGAGTGCGTACCTATACCGCGGGAGAGGGTTTAGGGAGGAGCTAAAGAGAACTGCGATTCGATTTCGATAAAATTCTTAAAACACTCGTTTGCGGACAACGACCGCGGGGGTGGTCACGAGCACAGGTATCTGACTGTATAATAATAACACGTATAGCTATAAAGGTATGTATATGCGGTATACTAACACGTCGGCGTCGAATAGCTATTTATATTGTTTTTTCGTTTTCGCCGCGTAATTACATGTAATTTTCGAACCCACACTGGTACACATTATGCATAATATATATTATAATATCCAATGCACTTCGTATTATATATACGAGTCGGACGTTATTGGTCTATGCTCTATAATGATAATAATAATAATAATAATAATAATATATAAGTGTATATATTATGGACGTGATAACCTGGAT